TCATATGCGTTTCTTTTTACTCAATTTATTAAGCTTGATATGTGAATCTTACGACAAATCACATATACGCTAATAAATTTGACGATAAATTCGTTTGGATTATCATGAGAAATGATAGTAGATATCGTCGGTAATCCTATTTAATGATTGGATTCACCGCGCGTAGTTGAACCGTCGATTTTTCTGTTCGACAGTAAAACGCATCGTTTCCGATCAAACGCATTGCGCGCATTAATTAGCGATTTAGTTGGCAGGAACATATTTTAAGCCATTAAAACTCGATGGATTTCGTGCTTATTACCGTTTCTATAATAATGATTTGCGCAACATTATTTGTGTTGAATTGGCGATGTTATCTTCGTTTTAATCTTGTAAACTGCAACATTTTAGATGCGTTTATCAATAACACGCCGCAATTTTGTGTGCACCATAGCTACTGCTTTCAACGAAATCTAAAAATACCATGATTTATATCGCATCTCCATAATTCACTATTCACGAATGTAAATTTAAGCGAAGAGGACCCTATCCGCCGTTTTTTTTATAGCCGGAGCCACGCTATTCGCATTTTTACGCGGCGGATTTAGTAATCGCACAGTTTTCGCAATCCAGACGAAATCTCGCCGGCAGAGACGGCCGGCGATATATTCCACCTGCGATCTCCCGCCAAGGACATCCTTGTGTTTATCCAGTTACCTAGTCCTGGTAAAACGTGTCTCACCTACGAAGGCCTATAAGGCGATAATTCCTCTTTATGCGATTTATCTTGTCATAAAATGTCGCCGTATTTCTTTCGCTTGGAAATTAACGTGTTACGTCAAGGCAGACGAATTGCCACAAAAGCCTTTAAACGGTTTTCTTAGAAGGCCGCGACGAAGTGCAGATACGGCAATATTAAAACAGCACTGACTTGCAAATTATCGTGAAGCAAAATTTCAACGCCTTAATTTATGAAATTCGTCTGATTATATGATTATTGAATTTTTCTTTTTTTATATATAATGAGAATTTTAGAAATGGGTTGTTGTATTATATTTAAATAATTCTTGCAATATTATCAGAAAATATAGATGATGAAAGAAAAATTAATGTGTAATCTTATTTTTTTTTTTTTCAAGTTGGCGTGAGATTCCCCTCAAAAACACGTTAAAAACACGTTATTAAGAGTTTTAATTTTAAAAGCTTGACCTAATTACATCGAAAGGGTGCGGTATGTCAAGTACGCGAAGTCATTTCGCACGTGTCACGACACGCTCTCTCGCCAAGCTATTTCATCATCCGAAATGAAAATCTTGTTAGAAACACATTAAAAATTGCATCCGCAACATCGCAACGCGAATCTCATTCTCTACGATCTCCCTGCCGAGCTACAAATTAGCAAGTTCAAGCGCGCGTCCGCGCGTTACGCGTAAAATGTAGATCTATGTGCAAGGTAAATGGCGTTGGAGAAAATAGCGTGTATATCACCAGGTGGCCTAATTGTATTCCATGGGAGTGGCACACTCGACCCACTCGGCTGTGCTTTTCCTTATCGATGCGACCGCGCGATGGAGACGCACGCGGCAACCTAAAGTAACGTATCGATAACGTCATATAGGAGCAAGGTAAAACTTTGCAAATAGATCGAAATACATTTAATTTCTCGTTCCATTAAACGAGGAAGAAAGTTTCTTAGGAAAAGCCATTAGGGAAAGATCGATTTCTATAATTGGACGATAAAAATTCCCGAAGTTTGCGAACAGTATTTGATACTCACACTGCACACTGTAATGAATTTGTGCTGAGGCATTGTTTTAATTGAAATTAAAATGCTGTCGCGATTTATTTGTAGAACAGATTGCACAATCGAGATGTTAGTGAAATAACACAGGATATCTTTCAGCGCACAGACTACGTTACATAGCGTTACGTCGACATTGCGACAGCGGGTAATTTAGACGTTAAGATAAATTTCATAAGCCCGCATCATCAAAGTCCCATTCACCGGGAGACCGATCTGCGGTCCGCTTCTCGCTCGGCTCACGTGAATATTTCGAGGTTCCGTCCACCGAGTGAATTCCGCGCGAGGCAACGTGGCCTAATTATATTTCAAGGGAGTGGCGGTTCAGCCACTCGGAGGTGTCATCCCTATATACCGGCTTGCGCCGGAAGTTCACACGCTCGAGGATCCCGCGCGCGCGGCGCAGGATCGGGCCTGCGTAGCATCGCAACGCCGGCTACGGTCGCCATGGTTACGTGTCAAGTTCTTTCACCCCCTCTCCCCCTCCGTGCCACCCCGCCATGGACCATCCGGGCCTGCCGGGGGAGATGCAGGCTTTCAACCCTCTGTGTACACCCGCAGCGCCGGGGCGGCTCCCGTGCGGCGCAGACGTTCGTCCCGGTTGGCCCAGGTCGCGTGATAAGACCAAAACTCTCTCTCTCTCTCTCTCTTTCTCTCGTCCTCATCAATTCAAGCGTGTCGTCGTAGATTACTCGTGTTGAAGCCTTCGGCCACGAAGGGAACCCGAGGACAGAGCCGGACAAGCGGCGGTAATATCTCGAGCTGTGCGCGAGAAGTGGCTCACAAGTGAGAGAAACGCTCGATAAATCGAGCGTGACCACGAGAGGGTGCGTACCTTGAAACGCGAATGACCTTGAGCGCACACCTGCGAGCCGGAGCCGCGGCAGGTGAATTGATTGGCGCGCCCGGTAGGGTGGGATCGCGCTGCGATCATGCGGCGTGGTTGCGTACGGCGCTTCGAAGGCTACGCGCTTTACGTCGTGACAAGTGTATGCGTCGTTCGCGTGTCGAGCTGATAAGAGATTAAACTGTGAAATATTAAAAGATTGAGCCATTAAAACGTGCGACGCAACATTGCAAATGTTACAACGAAACAAATGGCAGTGCAGTCAGAAAGTGCAAGCTAAAGCAATAGGGGTGAATAGAATTTACGTTCTACGTTGTCATAGACGATAAGAGGATACATATAAAAGATTTCTATAATATTTAATATATACCTGTTATATCTATATATTAATGTTATGTGAGACAGATCTATAATCAAAAATTTAGAGAAGCTCAGTAAAATACATAGATTTAATTGCTATATAAATACGACCTACACAGTGAACACCTCACACGATATATGTATACGACGTGCACAGGTATATTTATAGTACAAAATACAAAAGTGCTCAAACAGTAGTAGTGAGTAACGATAAAGTACCCTTGATCTGATGCAATAAAGGTAAAATATTTTGATTTGCGTGATCAAAAAGGGGCAAATCGTGTTACATTTGTACGACACTTGACCTGGAAGGCGACGGTCGATGATCTGCGCCGTATCAGAGAAAATCGTTTGGCAAGCGGCGCGGTTTTTCGCGGAGGAGGGAAAAAGGAGGAAGAAGAAGAGGCGGTGCCCGGTGCAACGAAAAGAGCATGGCGCGCCCACGTTGGCACACGTGGCGCGGGACATCTGGAAAAGCCTGTGTTACTAATTATAAAGCAATTAAGATTAGAAATCTCATGAGTGTGAAAGGCCTTTTGGGATAAGCCCAATCGATCGCGCTGGATTTTGTTAATTTTTTAAAATAAATATTGACGTTTATTATTGGTGGAAGAATTTATGATTTTTCTGATTGAAGACAATGATATCGAGCAGCATAGCTAGCTGCTCGAGAAAATTGTCGGGAGATCACACAGAAGAAAGAGAGTCACAAAGATACAGGAAGTTACAAAGAACCTCCGATGAAGCTGTTCGAGAAACTTCTCACGATTGATGCGAAATATCATTTGCGTTATTATTATTGTCTGGACGTTTGAGTGATCGAATGCCGACGCTATTTGCCTAATGGACGATATATGGAAATTACGAACTGCATAAAGGCCACACGGAGCACGATCTTGTGCACCGATGACGAGTTCGAACAGCAGCTCGTTATCGCGCGCCTGGCTGCGAGCGAATTGCTGCCGTTGCGGCGACACTCGGCAGGATACGGCGAACAACAATTTTAACGAAGTCGAGACGCCACTGCGGGAGGAAACGGAGACACTTCTGCATCGCATCGCCTTTACCGTCTGGCACACTGCCCTTCATATAGAGAGCGAGGTGCGTGCGAGTTGTGCATGCATGCCTGCGCGACGTGTGAATCAATTAGCATGACATAATCGTGTACAGATTCTTCAGCGCTGTGATTTCTGTTTAGCAAAAATTTGACAGAACGTCATTGGAACGCTGTGCTATCCGAAAATATTGATAAAAATAGATTAGATAGCGTTATCGTATAAATGTTAATTCTACAAATATTAAATCTATAAATATAAATCTATAAAAATTTTTTTTAAGCGGTGCTATTATTAGACATATTTAGGCACAACCTTTTATTTCTTGAATAAGCTTTCAATTATAGTTTTTTTTAATGATATTAGAAAATTTTAATATAAAACGCTCCTTTTTTCAAGCTCTATTTATTTCTTCTCTTATATAACTGTGAAGTATCGCATGTGCATCGTAGCGCAACCACTCGCAACCGATACATGATATTTAATAGGTTTTTGACAGGTTCCAATCGATGCCGACTATGCAACCGTTTTTTTAGGAATATCGAACACAAAATACGATACTACAGCACCTGTCGTTGCATAATTTTTCTTGCAATAATGGAACCGACAATGGGAACAGCTTATCGTATAACATTAATTTCGAAACAATGGACAATAATGTCACCTACTTCTCTTGGGACAACGCCCATGAAGAGAGTAATAGTATTTTTTACGCACCGAATAGAAAGTTAATAAGACGAGTCCTAATAAGACGACGCGCTATTATCTGTTTCCTCGATCATAGAATACACTGAAATACTAGCGTGGCATTTTTACATAAAACAATTTTTTTTTATTGATGTTGAATAACAATGATGTTTTTGTCTCTTTAAATCTTAATTATATGAAGATATATAACACGTAATATATTCTTATACGTTATACGTGTTAATTAACTGCTTTCCATTTTTGATTACAGCACAATGGCGGCTACGAATCACAACCGAAAAACGTTAACAACATCGCGAGAAGTAAACAGCAAGTAAGTATTTGTACTTCTTCCTGAAAATTACTTACTCATTGCGTTTATATAATTCACAACTGTTATAATATATTTCAGTCATATAAAATTATTTAAGATCAGACAAATTAATTAATAGCAGCAATTAAAAATTATCGAATACATATTAGATAATTATATTATTAAATTCTGATACGATATAGTAAAAACAGAAGATTGATGATCAAAAGAGATCTTCTGGCAAGTCAAAGGCTTTTTATCTTATCCGCGCAGTTTATCGTCATCAATGAAAGCTCGCGATTCATCGCCAACTCGCCTCTTTAAATATTTAATATAACGATACACGCGCGAGCGACCGGTTCTCTACTTATGTCGTACATAAGTGCCTTTATTTATTCCGTAAGAGGCGTACAGAGGCAAAAGCTGCATTTGCATTCGAGATGTATGACTTTTGCCATCTCGTCGGGACTCTGCTTGTCCTGTCAGATAACATTTTCGCTATACAAATTGCACGAAATCATTCCCGACGACGACAACGACGACGACTCGACGTTGTTGTCGTTCGTCCGGCCTGTCGAGCACTCGCTTTCAAAATGCAGAAACTGGAGGGCACGTGTATGACCTTACCGAAACGCTGAACTCAGACGAATGCTTTCGCCGTATTCAAATGGAAATGAATCTCTTTAAGCTATCCTTTTTTTTTTCACGCACCGGAAGCTCTACGTCAGCAGCTCGTTACTCGTGCCGCGACATTAAAATAGAATTATCGCTATAGGTGCCCGGCCGCCTATCGGCCGCGCTTTCGGCTCTCACACACACGCGGAATGTGGAATTCTGTAACAAAAAATAAGCGATGCGAAAGATTTAATTGCGCCGCGGCAATTTAATCTGGGATATCGCATTAAATCGCGGCTCGACTAAAATCCATGATAGCCGTAATTGCGCGGATCAAAATGAGACACACGTTACACAAACCGCCACTTACAACGTCAGTCGAATAACTTTCTATTGGCGCGTGGCGGAGAGGGAATACTAATATCCGACCAGTAATCAGTACGCTAATTACTCTCTTTTGCTCTCGCAACCGGCCGATATATTTCCCGAGTTTATTTACTATCCGCAAATCGATTCTGTAAATCACTGCGCGTGACATTTATCTGCCAAGCCGAGAGGTTTCTTTAGAAATCAAGGAAAGTAATAGCGACGTAATTTCTCATTTAATTTCCAGCCTTTCGATCAATTCAGAATTCGGGACAGGAGGAACGAGAGGTATTTCTGAAATTCCGACGTCTCGCGCTGTCGCGGGTGGCATTTCCTAGGCGCGTAAATGACGGTGCCGCGGAAAATTATGCGCTAAAATGGCAATAAGGCGGCGCATTATACGGCTGGTCGGTATCGGCCGCGATGTACCGTCGCGATAACCCGGTGCGTGTTGACGTCAGATGGATAATATATTCGCGAAACCCCGCACTTATTCGTGTGCGGACCACACCGCTATTACCGTGGAAATATATGCAGAAGGAGCGACGACAGCGATCGGTCGTGCCGCTATTTTCGCGCGTAATATGTAGAAAGTTACGGACTTTTACAGTAAGATCTTGTATATGATTACACCTTGTAAAATATTGAAATAAAATGTTTTTTGTTTGTATAATGTAGGATATTAATGCACGATATATATTTTTATATTAATGCAATCTGTATTGAATCTTTTCCATATAATTATATATGTATTTTTTAATATTATTTGCTTATTATTGGTTATATTTTTAATACAAGGACATTCAACATTTATATTTAATGACGTCTTTTGGAGAAAAATCATCAACATTAAGTTTCTCAACCATGTTAATTAATCGCCCAGTTTCGTTCCGGAAATCATGCACTCACGATTACAACGCAGTTATAGGCCGCGCAAAGAATAGTGAAGGTGAGGCGCGCTTGGAAGCAGTGATAATTATGCGGAATAGCAATTAGCGTACGGTAAAAACTGTTGCGCAGCTGTTATCGCGTTCGTTCTTATTTCTCGCGACATTGAGGAATTTTATCGGTTATTTTTGTTCATATACTCGCATCGTATTTTTACTCGTCCTGAAAAAAGCTCGCGCCTAAAAATAACACGTATTGGTAATATTTTTCAAAAATAAAAAGTACGAAAAGTTTAAAAAATTCAACAACGTACGATTTAAATCATCACTTTCTGTTTTGTTTTGTTTTAAACTAACTTTCTCTATGATCGTCAATCAATTGCGATGACAATTCTTTCGCGGTGTGACATAGGTACGACTTTTGTCAATTTATAATCCTAAATAATAAAATGAAATAATAAGAATAGAGAGAATAATCGAGCCGATCACCATTATCAGTCTTTACACGTATAGTCGATTAAGATTATGCCCACTCATTCGAACGTTATACTTTCAATTAATTAGAAATTAACCGCGAACAATTAGGTAGATTAACGTTAATTGACATTAGTGACGAGGCTCATTACGTGCATCGAGCTTTCTTGCTTCCATAATCGCGTAGAATTAATGTCGGCGGCGATATAGCCCCTTAAGGAACTTTATACCCTCATGTAACTTTATATCCCCATAAAATCTTGTTTTGGGGTATGTATATCCTTCACATTTTTTTATATTTTTAATAAAAATTTTTAAATTCGATCCTGCTAATGAAATAAAATATCTAGAGGTCTTCAAAACAAAAGCAGTGAAAAATGAGAAATCAAGGATATTTGGGAAATGTGAAATAATGTGTTTTTGTACGTAAATAATCATTTCCGTTATATTTGGTGGGGGCTTTCGTAATTTTCAAAAGCAGGCTTTCCATTCCCGGGGTGATCCTCATTCCACTCCACTCTGCCGCCACCGTTGAATTCCACAATATCGTCGAGTTTCTCAATTTTAATAATTCATCCATTATGAAACTTTAATCTCGAGCCAGCGACGCGCTGTTACAACTTGTTTTCGCCGACGCCTGACAGACGGCAGGCAATATCCTCGTTTCGCGACTTCCACTTAGCCGGGGGAAGGCTTGCCTCGCCCCCGATCCGACTATCGGGTGTGAAACACCGTAAGGCTCACGCGGGGGTACACGCACACCTTATAGCGACAGCTGCGGTAGGACCGCTACGTAATAGCAATTTCACACGTGAGGCCTAACGGCCGAAGGGATTTATGAGCGGGTGGGTAGTATAGGCCTGGCTGCACGCCCCGCGCGTGAAAACGAACTCGCGGCGTTATGATCCCCATAAAACCAAGTATTTTTAGAGGTGGCCGCCTCGCTCTTGTTCTCTCGCCCGGCTCATTCTGCTTTCTTCGCCGCGGCGCGGCACCCGGTTCATTGTTAGCGCGGCCCTTTATATTTCTGAAACTCAGACGCGAGCCCAGCGAGACGCGAGTCGAGCGAGACGCCGTTCCTCACCTTGCTCCTTTCGCCTTTCAACTATACGTTTGTTACGGATATAAATTGCTCGCACGCTCGCTTATCCAAAAACGTGAGGCGCGTTTAGAAAGTTTCTTTTCATTATATCTCCTATTTTAGTATCATACAGATTTATTCGTGGACTCAGATTATGTAGGATTAGATAGGATAACATAATTACATTACGCGAGTACACAGAATGACATACGTATATATATGTATGTACTCCACCGGCGGCGTTTCGGTTCTACCGTCGTAATTAGTTATAATACTATAGTCCGGTACACAAAGGCTTTACCCGCTTAGGGGGACCAGCCAGAGGATTGTTGAATACAGTTGGAAATTACGCGCGCATTAATACGAAAAGGCCAACTTGTCAAACGTAAACGGAATAACGTCTGTTGAGCCAGAGAATTATTATTCTGATAAAATTCCGCAAGAGACGAGAAAGAGAAAGAGAGAGAGAGAGAGAGAGAGAGAGAGAGAGAGAGAGAGAGTGCTTGAAGGCAGATAAACACAAGCAACGTATGACTGCATAATCCGGTATAAATCACGCGAATAATTTTAACAAGCGCCATCAATAACGGAGTGTATCTCAAACGGGCGACGGTACACGATCGTTGAGGCCCTATAAATGACTCTCGGCCAACCGACGAGGTCCTGTTCGCCGCCGGACGATGTAGTGTGTCCGGCGTGGAAGAAACCGCAGCAACCGTGGCAAAAACGCAGCTTACATCCGGCTCGTTTGCGCGCCAACTCCGCCGTGTAATTTTCGCACGTTCCCCGCGACAAATCATCCGCGCACACTGCAATGCCTTCTATCCGCGACGCGCGCGCGTTTCCCGGAGCGTTCCGTGCATCGTAATTAAGACGATCTAGCACCGACCGCGTCTCGACTGGCAGTGCGAATGGCGTGACTATTTGGTGGGAATCGAAGTCACGCTACCTGCACGAATTCGTTACATCACGCGTCCACGCGCGAGCGAGTTCTCCCATCCACGTTCAGGGCCGCTTCAGTGCAGCGTTCGGGGCAAGAAGCTCGTTTCGCGTTAAAGTAAAATCGAGAAGTTCGTAACAAGACCTGGCTGTGCTGTTCTTCTTTGTTTTGAATAATTTATAGTAGATTAAGGAACTGACTGAAGAAACTGAGGAGAAGTTTATTGTCAGAGAAAGAGACCTGTCATTAAAAGTTGCCTCAGTTCGGAATATTTCTAATTTCTATAAACTCACATAATATAGAATTAACAAAAAGATATTTATGGTCTCTATCGCGAGGAGCGTAAAATGGCCTTGAAATGGCGTATCGTAAGAAATAAAGTATTATTAAATGTAGCAGAGTTGCTCGTCTCCCAAAATTTTCAAAAAAGCGACATCGCAACGCAATCAATTCTTATAGCGAGCTGAAAACTTGTGTTCATCAATTAATCGTATAACGCAGCCGCTTGAACACGGCGGTATCGAAAATCTATTTGATGGCGCACATCTTGGATCACGATACGCAAATAAACGTCGCGGAATGATGACGATGATGACGGCGAGCCCGGCCCTGGAGCACGCGAGCCAGCATACGTCAGACATGACAGAAGGCGGCGCGATTATCTGACAAAACCGCCGACTAGCCACTGGATATTCCTGCGTATCTTCAGTAGAACCAGGCGAAACATAATACCCGGCAGTGTATCGTTCCGCGGCGAGGAACACGTCGCGCCGTTCATATCTCCGCGTCCTCGTTTCTCGCGGCGGGACGAGAACGCTGCGTTCCCGTTAAAGCGCCGGGATTACATGTCGATCTACCCCGCGATAGCGTGTCCTCCGTTAAGGACATCGCCATGACGGAGAAGACCGTCGTCAGGATCGTCTACGCGCCGAAATTCTCGAAGGTGGATAGAAACTCCATGTAGCGAGTCGACGATGCAGGATTTACCGTAAATCCTCGCCGAGTTATCAATTATTCATGTATCTGAGATTAAAGTTAAGATAGTGATTGGTGCGCAATTGTACTAATTGCAGTGGAAGTGCGTTAGATAAATGCGACGTAGATCGTTCGAAAACTGTTTTGATTATAAATCTGGAGAATATTTAATATTTCAAAATTTACATTTTAAATTAATGATATTGAGCAAACTGTTTATTGAGTGTGTAGTACGTGTAACAAATTTTTAAATATAACAAACATTTTTTTGAAGTATACGCTTTGTGTTCTACATTTCAACTGTTAGAGATATTTCTTATCTACATTATTTAAATTAAGAATACTTAATATTTCAAAATTTGCATTTTGAATTAAGGATATCGAGCAAACTGTTTGAGTGTGTAGAGTAACAAATTTTGAAATATAACAAACTTTTTTGAAGTATACGCTTTATGTGCTTTACATTTCAACTGTTATATAGAGATATTTCTTATCTACATTATTTAAAAAAGTTTATTATTACAATTTATTTATCTACATTGTATGTCCATCGAATCTATTAGGAAGAAAATAATGAAAGATTAAATGAATTCGCGCGCGTAGATGAAAACTAAAGAAATAAAGTCTCATCAAGCAGATCTATCTCCACGAAGAAAATTTGATTGTCTGACATGATATTGTTTTATGAGAAAACTAAGTTTTGCGGCAATCAGAGACGAATCTTACGGAAAAGTTTCCGGATAAAATTCAGTGAAATAGAGCCACTAAAAGATTCTCTCTGAAACGAATTTAAAAAATTCCGTTCGATATGAGTAACGAATTTCGTCATAGAAATAAATCTCAATTTATATAAACGCAATATATAATTAATGGCAATGTGAAAGAAATTAAATAATATTATTATTTTTAGACATGATTTTTTTTAACGATAATCTGGTACTGCAATTTTTTAATCACCCTTACAGACAAATATTTTTCTAAAGCAGATTATTTTCTTGTATTTATGTATATGTAGTTACTACAAATTTAAATTATTTTTTTTTTACATTTTCTACATTAATATATAATATACTCAAAATTCTATAAATCTTTTATTTGCTATATTCAAGTAAATCATCAAATTACAGGTGCAGACATCAGCATTGGTGTCAACACCTGCGAGGACGCCGGGTGTCGGCGCGGATTCAACGATGACGGGACCGGGAAAGGGCGGAGGTCGCGTGACGGAGGTAATGGAGCTCTGTTACGTCACCGAGAGGATCATCGCCCTTTGGTACAGAGAGGATGCCCAGGGTGTCCTCGAACATGCCACGACCCTTCTGCGCGGGAAGCATGCCGATAATTACATGGTGAGAATTCAAATCATAGCTCTTCGCTGCACTTTCTCTCGAAATAAAAATAAGAAAGCGTTATACATTTCGCAATTTGCTCTTAATAATTTTTTGCACTCGTGAATATTACAATTCATGTAAAATTGGTCCCTTTTATGCAGATATAATACAATAAATTATAATTTAAAAAATAAAATGAGATTATATAAAGTTGTGTTTTTTATACAATTTCTACTCTATGTATATTTTTGCAATTGTCGTAAAGTGTTGTGGATATCCTGGGCTTTCAGATCTTTAACTTGTCATCGCCCGGCCGACCCGGCGAGCCAAATACGAGGGAAGTCGGATGGCCGCAGGGATTAGCGCCAAGTTTGGAGAGACTGTGTGCTCTCTGCAAGGAGCTGGACTCCTGGCTAAACGGCGCTTCTAATCGCGTCGTTGTCCTGCATGCCAGGTGAGCTGGCTTCAAATATTGTATAATTTATCTTTCGATTCCTTATAATAAATACGAGCGAAAAAGCTAATTAGCTAATTTACAATTTAAATTACGAGTGATTTTAAACACTTAATACTTCTATTTGTATCTCGAAAAAAAAATTCATGCTAGACGAATCCTTCACAAGCCGAAAAAAAAAATCGTTTTTGAGAGATACGAGTTATGAGCGCAAGGCTCTTCGCGTACGCACATTCGTACGCATTCGTGACCTGGTTTTTGTGGAACGGCCAGTGTTCAAGTGATCGTCCGCAAAAGCCGTAATTTTGCCGCGGTATACGTTCACCGCCCCCTCGAAACTCCGCGCCCGTAACTTCCCGTTAGTCATTTCCATTCATCGTGAATAATAACGTCATTAGACCGCGATCGGCCGGCGGCGAAATCTTTTCGTATCCTACCTTATCCACTTATTGCGGAGAAGGTATCCGACATTGCGCGCACGTTCGCGGGCAACCAAGTTAACGTTATCGTTCTCTTCAGGGGCGGCAAGGAGCGGCTGGGTGTGGCAGTGTCCGCTTATATGAACTACAGCAGCATCTGCGGGGGACGCGATCAAGCGTTGGACAGGTTCGCCATGAGAAGGTTCCTCGACGACAAGATCGGATCGCTGCAGGTTCCGTCGCATCGAAGGTAACGAGAGCGAAAGAGGGAGAGAAAGTCGCATGCGTATATCTACCTTACCTGTTGACGTACGACGTTAAATCTCATTCTATCGCATTTGCACTCGGGATATAATTCAGACGGCGTCGTAAAATCGTTTACGAGCGCGTGCACATCCGTCGCAAAAAATGTCCATAGGTTTATTATTTCTTAATTCCTGTCTTAACCGCGCTCGATATATAATCTCGTTCCCGCGATTTATTTTAATACTCATCGACACTTTTAATGACAGGCAATTGATCGCGCCGGAAAATCTTATACTTCATAAATTCATTTTACGATATTTGATTGACTGATTGCACCTGGCGTTTCACAAATATAATCTCCCTTGTCTTATTTTACTCATGCGATTGTCTGATTTTAAGATATGAATATTGGAAATGCTTTTCTTAACGTATATAGGTATAATATTTTGTGACTTTAAAAACTGAGACAATGATTTACAATAATGCACCAATATTAAATAAATTCTTTAGCTTTTGTGCATCTATATCTTTTTCTTTCTTTGAGAGCTGAAAGCTATTTATTAATTCTGAATTAAATAAAATGGATATAAGTGAGACGTATACTTAAATTTACATACGGAGGTGGTCATTTCTATCAACGACGTATTTGACGTTTATCACGGAAGTCATGCAATTTCTTCAAATTTATATAGCGCAGGAAGCAGGAGCGTATAACTGGTCCACATTTATTACTATGGCGATCCTATTAAGAAGGACACTCTACGTCCTTGAGTAACCATCCTCGCTATCCTATTTGTTATCCGTTCTACGCACCACCGACCTCTGAAATGTCGAGTCCTCATTATCTAGTCGTCATCATCTTCAATCATCCTTGCTCGTTTTCTGCCATCCTTCGTGTTCCTCGTGCCGCCATTAATCATGCCGATGCCTATCCTATCCGATCATTCCTCCATAATGGTTTCCGGAAATTCGTTCGGGATTCCTCAGAACTTCGCGGGAATAGCATCGACGACGACGGCGACGACGACTTTTAAAATTGCAACACCGTAAGCACTTCGTTCACACCGTGATTACAACATTTACCGCGGCGAGGGAATAAGATCGCGCGGTAAGATGGCAGCAACAAAATAAAATGATCGGCCGTGTTGCCGCACTTAACGTTCTTGTTGTTGGAGAGATCTTACTGTCAGCCGGTTCTATTCGCGCGTACTACGAACCATTGATCTAAAGATAGCGAGCTCTCATCGTCGTCATCATCATCATCGGCAGCCTTATCGTTTACTTCATCGCCGTGTCGTCGTATGCATTCATAATGACCGTAATGAAACGCGGTCGGGCCTGCGTGCGGCTGTCCCTTTTAATCTCGTTCGCACTTATAGCCGTCGTAATATTTTCCGACTTAAATGCAACCTGATTGAGGGAAAAAGCTTCTTTTTTGCTTGCGTAAAAAATTAAAATGCATCGATAAGCTCACGAGGATGATCTTATTTACCGTTTCGTATGTGATTCAAAAATAGAGATATCGTAGTCATTTGAATAATCATTTGGATATGTGTAATGACGTTAAATTATAATGTCACTTACCGCGTAAACGATATCGATAATTGTTTTTAGAATTAATTATAAAAATGTTTAGTCTGGGATATAAATATTGACGTCAAATTATTGAAATTACGTATTTTATGTAATCATTTGTCCAATTATTCGAATAAGAATAATTGCTCTTATACTACTACTTATATAACTAACTGCGCTAAAGGATCCGAACCATTTACTGGATTTTTATTACGATTAATTATTTTTTGAATTGATCATACGAATAAGATGTTCGAATAATTACGCAATTAAATAATTACATTAAATTTTTTTTTGTTTTTCAATTTTAACGATCCAATCATCGTTCTTTTTCTCTCTTTTTTACGAACGTTTCCGTTCCTCGCGTGATTTATGCTCGCGGTTCGATCAACCGGTTCCATTTAACGAAACAAACGCAACCCATCCGGCAGTTTATCGCGCGTATTACGCGCCATCGACCCCGTCGGAGCCACGACCGCCGTATCATTACCGTCATCATCGTCCTTATCGTCGTCCTTGTCATCCGCGTCGCCGTACGCATTCATAATGATCGTAATGAGCCGCGACCGAGGTGTGCCCGCGTACGTATAGCGACTTCCTCGCCGCTTCTTCTTTTTCTTCTTCTTCTTCTTCTCGCTTGTCATATCGCCTCCTCTCTTCGTGGTCCTCGCGCGCTCCCTCCGGTCCTGCCTACCGGAGTTCCTCCATTAATTCCGCGAGCCGCGAGCATTAGCATGTCGTTAGCGTAGCTGCGCTCTCGCGCGCGCGAGCGTATGAAACCATTACCTAGCCTGCCTCCGAGAGATCTCTTGCGACGAATGATGTCGAACGTTAGTGGCACGTATACTCCTATCTGCATGCGCTCGTCCGACATGCACACCTCTTCGTGTCACGGGCCGAGGCTTCCATTGGCCGAACCATCAATCCCATTCATCATGTTCCTCATGCATGCGCGCATTTGCGACTTGAGAGAAATTTGCCCCTTCGTGTTTTTTCTTTTTCGCTTTGCAATCGTCGATCGTGCCAGGAAGATCGCCTCTCACACCTTGAAGGTATAAGACCTCTCATCGTTTTATCGTTCATTATTTATGATATTCATCTTTAATCCTTCAAACCGTCTGATCGGGGATTAGGAATTGGATTTAAGATTAAAAGTGCAATAGCGTACTTATTTTTTTGATGTCAAGTATAATAACGGAAGCCCCTGGATTTTCCAGGTACATCGAGTACTTCAGCGGGCTGCTGTCAGGCTCTTTGAGAATCAGCCAGTCGCCATTGTACCTGACCCACCTGACAGTCCTCGGAGTGCCGCTCTTTGAGCCGACGGGCTGTCGAGCCTTTCTTAAAGTATACGAAGGACTTACGCCGGTTTACACATCGGATCTGTACTCGGTGACGAACGCGCGCGAATTTACAGTTAATCTCGGCGGACTTCGACTGAGGGGCGACATCTTGGTCAAGTGCTACCATAGGGTATACTCGAAGCAGACTCGAGAGGTCATGTTTTCCCTCCAGGTAAGAAAGCAATGTACACAATAGATTTATATTTCGTGCATATATAATAATATATTTTTACATGTCATATAATAATATAATAATATATTTTTATATATCATTACAAATTTTTATTATTTAGTTTCATTATAATCTCTAATATTATTTCGCATATTTTCATAAAATTACACAACATTGGAATATATATTAAATAATACAAATTAACATAAATGGATCCAACCCATTCATTTATGTCGTTTATATCCGTCGCATACAAATACATCATGCATGATGCATTTATGAATGCGTTGTAACATGCGAGTGACACGACGTGAAATCAGAGGAATAAATGATAGTTTATGCAAAGGTATTCGTAACTAGTTACAAGGACAACGAAGTAGATCTACGCGTTCGGGGGAAAAAAAGAGACGATCAGAATTTGCGCATTAGTTTCATGCCCGATGGGCAAACAGCATCCTCAGGAAAATGACGTAACGATTAATTAATAACTAGATAAACGTTTTCCTGTAACACGCAGATAAAAACCGATATATATGAACTCTATAGAAAAAAATATATCGATCGCGATAAGTTGCATCAAGTTTTAATTTGTTGGAACGAATAGACTTGCGTATAGAAAAAAGTCGCACTTGTTTAAATTAATTGATATTGTGATAAACGTGTCTTATGCAAATCGACAGTAGCATTTGAATTTGCATACTTGCAATCTCTTGTAACTGATCTCTTCCTCTTTCTATTCCACATTAATAATTTATACCTACATAGATACTTTTCATCAGAAATCGCGTCACTTTTTTTCGAAAAATTTTGCTCTCAGAGAGTTCCATCAAATCTTTAGCAAGAATAAATTACTTGCAAATCCTTCAAGGAATCTGCAAACATGAAACGCACATATTGTTAGTACATATATAGTAGTGATTGACGTTGATTAAGATAAATCGTTTCTGTCAATCAGTGATTACGTCGCGCATATTCTCACAACGACCATTGTTCCCTTAGTTCCACACGTGCGTAATTACGGAGAACGTCGTCTCCTTCCCGCGATCGGAGCTCGACGTCGCCTGCGACGATCCTCGATGCCCGCCCGACAGCGTGGTGACACTCTACTTCGCCACCGACGCGAAACGTCAGGACGGCCCAGTCCCGGCGCCGACACCCGCCGTGCCGCATGCATCGGCGCATCACGATCCCATCCTGCATTGGGACAGCTACACGAATCTCGAGATCAGCGACGATGGTGAGTGCGCATTTCTTCATATTCTAACAAGGCATATTCTCGTGGTTTTTTTAAACATGGGAAAGTTACAACTTATCTCTCAAAATATACGCAATATTAAAAAATCTTTTTAAATTTATTGTAGTTAAATATTAATTAGCTTTAATTAGCTTTTGATTATTAGTATGGGAGGACGGGGCAACTCGAAACCCTCGCTATATCTCGAATATTGCATTACCGAATGTCAAACTGGATTTTACTTATAGGTTGTGCCTTTTTAGCCTGACATTTATGATTGTTATATGACGCTTATATTCGGTAATGCAGTAATATTCGAGATATAGCGAGGGTTCCGAATAGCCCCGTTCTCCCCTATTTGAATGATTGTCGAGTTTGAAATAAATTATCTTGTAACAAGTTATTGATTTCTACGTGTCAAAATTGCACATAAATTGAACAAAATATAAAATTTCATATAAAATTTGCTTTCTGGATTCTATTATTGTGCCAATAAAATTTGGCAATGGACGATACAATATGATAAACGAGACTCGCGAATATAAAATAACATTGCTGACGTTTATGTTAACGTCAGTTATCATGTTTTGCTTCTGAATCGCTGATATAAAACGTATAATGACGATGGATATTTAAATATATGACACGATGTTACAACAGAAATAAATTCCTATTAAATATTTCTTGTTCGCAACATGATTCTGGAAAATGGAAACGCTAGTTTGTCTCTCGTGTTGTAAATTCGACGGTGCGAGTTGGTCGATTAATTTATTGATATCATGAAAGCTAAGACTCGTGATCCACACCGGGAGAGCTCATCGTCGGTCGACTAATACGTACTAATTTTCGTCGTAATGGCACCCAATTAACCTCGATCTGACAGCCGAGAGCTAGTCAGAAATACAACTTGGCTAGTGTTCGTAGCGAGGGAGGGAGGGAGCGAGCTAGACGAAAGAGCAGCAGTCAGTATAGTGCATTTAGAATAGCTGACTAACGCCGCCGGAAATATGTTCTGCCAAGTGGAAGGAAAATGGCGGTTTATCGCGACGGGGGCGATTTCCACGGCTGGAAATAGATCAAAGGTCGGCCCGATGGATGGGCAAGGTCCATCGTGTTAAGCGCTTCCGAGTATAGCGTTTCTACCCCGTCGCTGCCTATTTACATCTTCACTTTTCTCTGGTGTCCCAGCCTGACTTTTTGATGAGATGAGTAAAGGTGGTTGTCACGATGAGTATCCGCGATATGAAATGTATTTTCCAAATTTATTGAGAGCATCATGGAAATTACGAGAGTATCACATAAGTAACATTACATTGCATATTTTATTAAATTAAAATTACATAAAGATGAAAAATATTCATTAAACTCTCATATTTAAAGAATGGAAATGTTTTTAAATTAATTTCCTCAATTTATATAAGATATGAAAGTATTGCAACAAACATATTCAATTTTTTTTAATCCTCTTCTATTTATTTCTATAAAAATTAAATTGAATTAATAATGTTTCTAAATACACAATTTAATTTAATTAAATCTCTCTCATTATCAAATGGAAGATTCATTAGACAACTTTCTCCACGCTTGGCAAAGGGCGGTAGGAGGTCCACTGTAGCGATTTGTTCCGCTCGGTATATCTGCTCTAATCGTGACGATTGCGTCATCGCCATGATTCCTCCAAAAGCACGCAGCGCGCGCCGGCAACGCAGGACGACCAACGTTCTCGGAGTCAATTCGTTTCGTTAGCGATCGGCCGGTGGGTATCCAATAAAGCTGTGACCCAAATTGCGGGCGATGCTAAATCGACGCCGTTTGTTACGGGACGAAGAGTGACGGCGGACGAGACCAGAAAGAAAAATGGAGGGTGCCCGTGAGCGGCGTGACCCTGTGGCCGAAGGGAGACGAATAGATCAATGGATAGGTTGAATCGATTGAATACCGGTAGTTTAACCGCAATACCGTCGGCGACCCATCTGCCGGATATCCACCCCCTCCCTCCCCCTATTTGCCGGCTGAAGGGTGTGACCAAACCGAAATCAATTCCACCTCTCGCGATATAGCCGGGCCGCGAACGAAAGAGATCGTGTATCCTGTCGTTGTCAGAACGCGATCGATTATCGAGATCCCTCCGCATAACTCGGCGCCTGGATTTACCGTGCCAGTTTCTCCCCGTCGGAGATTATTCGGAGATTGATGAATATATTTGGATATTTATTAAATATTTATTAAAAATTAAAACTTTAATATACCAGCAGAACGTACATACTATAATCGTGCTGTGAAATTTTTCTAAATGAAGAATTCATTTCTGCGCCGATGAACAGCCACGAGCAAGCTCGATCGACAGTCGCGATTTCTAAACCATCTCGACAAGCGACACGCGGTTTCCCAAGCCGTCCCCCTTAATTGTCCCCGTATTGAGCTCAGACGTTCTAAATCACACTTAAATCGTTTCACAGTCCCACTCGTGCCGTCAAGTATCGAAGCGATTTGTCGCCGGCGGGCGCGCCCGCATCAATTGGCGTTTCGAACCTTCGATTTGCGCCGCTACTTTGTCTAATGATTTAATGCGAGACCGCGCTTGTGCGATTTTCCTCGCTGCCGGGTGAAAGCAAAGAGCTAACGGGCGACATATTTGCAACATCGCAAGACAACCTTTACCAGCACGAAGTGATTTTCCTCTTCCTTCCCTCCCTCCCCTCTTTTCCCTCGTCGACGAATCGAGTATAACGAACTCCGATCGAGATGAGTTGCCCGACTCGGAAGCGTCGCGATGCCCACACGTTGGCACCCACGCGACAGAACATAAGTCTCCCACTGGCACCGTGCTCGCACGAACGATCTGCTTTAACGATCCGCTGAGTTATACGAACCAGCGTGAAAAAGTTCTCGAACTCCCTTTGATCGGGTGACGCGCGAAGCGAGGCGGAAATGTAATGAATCTTCCATGTTTCCGGGTAATTTCATACGAATCTAAGTCTGTGTATTCGATCCCTTAGGTCGACCTGTTTAAGAAACTGCAAAGTATAGCGGAGAAATAGAACTATAGAGACAGACCTATTTAAGTTGAAGGAAAAGTCGATTCGTTCGAGAAAAAGCTTATGTTTCGCGTTGGAAGCAAAAACACTTTAATTAGAAGATGGAAAAAGTGGTAGTCGAAAACTGGACCGAGAGACAGAAAGGATGATAATAAATCGAGTAGAGGTACTTTATTAATAAGCAGCTGCCCCCTTACATAAGATTCATTGGATCGGGATGTAACAAAAGTCGTGAAAGCTGCATCGCATGGAAAGGGATGGAAAGCGGCACAATATAGGAGATTTTCATGGTGGTGGGGAGTCTGCTGCGGGTTTATTCTTGGCGTCGAGACGCCATGGATGGGGATAGAGCTTAAACAGTTTTCGCGCGCCTCTATACGTAACCGTGCCAGAGAGTCTCAGTTCGATTCCTGATTCTCCCGTGATCAATAGTGCTCTCTCTTGCGCAAATTGGCATTCCTATCATTTACCTCGATAAACACGAGGTTTCGTGTGTTAGTGGCTACGCATAATTACGCTGTTGCGACAACTGCAGTAGAATCGTGAGCAAAGTGGCGAAAGTGGCGAGCGTTTCGAGTAAGCCAATTTTATTTTCTTTCTATACTAACATTTAAGCTACGAGTATTAAAATTTATTTATTTGTTATGAGATTCGTTTTAATCGAGTAACACTTTTCTTCGCTTATTTGTGTTATTAATCGAATTTTCACTTGTTATTATTTATTTATTGTGATTTTAAAATTGTTCTAACAAATACTGAAACGCGATTTTAAGCGTCTTTACATTTTCAACAGCATTTTCTCAATTTGTTATTGACTTAGAATTAAATAAATTATATATTATTAAAATCTCGCAATCACGTGTAATTTGCTGCATACAAAAATTCATCTCTCGAGACATTTCTTCTTGCCACGATATTCTTTATCGCAATATTATAACGTTTCGCGACAAGCATCCGTTCAACGTTTTGTGATACTCACGATTGGAGATTGACCTTAATTTTACGGTCTACCGTTAAGGCGACACTTCACGCAGGATAGAGTCTTTTGATCCAAAATTGGCGAACCGGCTTGACCGGGCTACTCTCGCTCCGAGAATCGCCTTCGGACCACGTCACGAGAAAGTCGGTTCTTGGAAAGTGTAGATTGAGCTTGATCTGAGAAAACACCCCATAGTTGGCAGCTGCCGTAAATATATGTGATTTCCGATTCGTATAGAAAATATAATCTCTACGTCGAGAAAAGAAAAAAAATATTAACAGCAATATCTCATTATTATTTCTTTACTTTTCTCTCAATATAACTTTTCCATCCAGTTATTGAATATGTTTATTGATATAAAGGCAACTCTTATTCTATAAAAATTAGTTTTTATAGAATTTAATCATTTTTTTATATAATTACGCGAAAGAAACTTGTTAAAAAGCAAACTAAAGTAATAAAAATATTTATGGCAAAATTTAAAAAAAACAGAAATTTTATTAGAGAAATGAGTTGTTGAGATATGAGAGAAATGTAACGGACACCAGCAAACAGACGCCGCTTGGTTCTCGCACGTGTTATCCACTTGACACGCGACGAGCTTTTAGCGCCTGATAGCCGTATTAGATTGTAGCTTTTTTTTGCGTTTGTGTGTCTCTTGAGGACAAGCATTTTGTCGATCTTCAAAAATTCCGTTGGGTCGACCTCCGATCTTTTGTTTGGTCGCTGTCGAAAGAAATTGTGCGGTAAAACAAGAAGAGAAAATCTCCCGCTTAATAGGAACGAGAGAAAGAGACAGAGGTGGAGCAGCGAGGACAGAAAGCAGAGACAAGAGCCCATTGTCTTGTCGTTCGGTCGTACGTCTTCCCGCTGTTACGTCACCATTGTTTACTCCAATCCTGTGCAGCTTCCTCCGTGCAGGGCCGCCTCCAGCAGTTTTATCTTGCCACCTCGATGTCCATTGTACGAAGAGAAATCGTTTTTTG